AAGGCTAGCGCTCTACCACTTGAGCCACAACGCCACTTCTGGCTTGTTTTTTTCTTTTTGCTTATGTGGTGCTGAGGGCCTCGAGCATGCAAGGCAAGCGCTCTACCACTGAGCTGTCTTCCCAGCCCCGTTCTTGAGACTCTTATCTCCAATTAACCACCAGAAAACCAGAAGCAGCGCTGTAGCTCAAAGTGAGGTAGAGCACTAGCCTTGAACATAAAGAGCTCATGGTCAGTGCGTAGGCTGCCAATTCAAGCCTCACGACCAATTCAAAAACAAATCAACAACAAAAAGATCACCTAATTGCTGCAATACATGAGATTCTGAAGCAGACCTAGAACTCATCAGATTACAAATGTATATAGCAGTCAGCCTGAGCCATGGCAGGAAGCAGAGGGAGTCTGAGGGAGGAAAAATAACATAGAGAGAGCCAGCAGTATAAATCTCACCCTCAAATCAGCCAAGGGCAGCCAAGAGGCACATGTGTAGAGGAAGGACAGCCTGTCCTCCTCCAGGCCCAGCTGTGGGTTCTTGCTGCTGACCGACACTTTCCTTAAATTACATTTGACATTTGTTCTGATTACATTTCGAAAATATTTTCTATGACAAGCAGCACCTTGACATTTCAAAAATACCCAGAAAAGGGTCTTACCTGGCAGCTAGCGGCTCAGACCTGTAAAGCCTAGCTACTGAGAAGGCTGAGACCTAGAAGATCATCATTCAAAGCCAATCCGGGGGCAGTAAACTCCACCACACTCCATCTCCAATTTAACAAGCAAAAAGCTGGGCTGGAGGTATGGTTCAAGCGGTAGAGCACCAGCCTTGATTGGTGGGGGGAGGGAGGGAAAAGTTGACTGAGAGCATGAGACCCTGAGCCCCAGCCCCAGCAGTAGCACAAAATTTAAAATAAAAGGCAAGTGGACTGAACTATCTTCATTCAATCTGGCAGCTGCCACATCAGTTTGACCCCACACTGCTGGGTGATACACATCTTCTTCCCAAAACCTGGCACAGGGAAGAATGCCACTGTGACTGTTAGGTCCAGGTCCAGGCTAAGTCAAGTCTGGAGTCTGAATTTAGTTGAGAGTAGGCCTAGCTGGGCACTGATGGTTCACATCTGTCATCCTAGCTACTCAGGAGGCTGAGCTCTGAGGATCG